AACGTGTGCACATTTATTAATTTAGATCAGAGAAAATTTAATCTAATGATTAAGGAAGTATCTATTCAAAGTGTAGCATTGGCCTGATATCTGGGGATGTGATGGAACCTTTGTTACAGATGTTTTTGAGAGCATTTTGGGAAAGATTTTAAAATGCAGCCGTGTATAGTCTTAACTTCACTGTATCTTGGAGCCAAAGAGAAGTATCTTGATGTCTCTTCTCTTCCTGCCCTTTTCAGATCAGAGTGTAAGGAGAAAAGCAAGATATTGGGTCTGAAAAGAGCCAAGACACAGAATGTAGGAATGTGTGACAGTCTTTTGCCAAGCTGAAAATGAATGGTAGAGCTCACAGTATATTTGCTATTGATCTAGGGCACTGAGTTGGCAAAACTTCCCCAGGAAGCTGAATATAAAATTAGTAAAGGATGGAGCAGATTATAGGGTATCTCCTGAGGCTTTTAACCTCCAGAGTTAAGTAAATTGACAGTGCAATAGTAGATTAAAATTATTGTTTATTATTATGGGCTAACACACACTGCAAGGCATAATTTTAACTATTTCCTCTCTGTAACTGTAGCCATCCATGAAAAATCCCATGCATAGTGTTCAGTATGGATAACCAGAAAAGAGAAAGAAATATTAGTAAGCAAAGAAATGTTTTGAATTATAACACTGAATGCCATGACAGAATCCAGTGGTACTAAAATACCATGTTTAGTTTTGTTCACCCTGAAGAAATAAGCAAAAGTAAATGAAAATCATTATAGTCCTGGAAACATTCTACTGGCCAGAGTGGTTTACCATGCTCTTTTCAAGTGAATAAAAATCAGAGTGGATGTGCTAAAGGAGTACAAGATAATTAGCAACTCAGAAGAAAGAAGTAAAAAGAAAACCAAACTGGATATTTCTTTCTAAGCTTTATCTTAGCAGAAGAACAATAAAAGGTGAGAACCTAAGCCTTTCTTTTATTTTTATAAACATCCAGCCATCAGTTTGAGTTCAGCATAACTTTTACAGAGGTCTTGATCCTTCCTTCTTAATCTTTCTTTCTTCCACAAGTTCCCTTCTCAAACAGCACACACTGCACAGCCAAATTGCTGGATACTTTCTGTAGCCTGGCTGTGATCTGGGACTTGAATTTCTGTATGAGTTTTTCCATCTGAATTTTAAGTGTGACTTCAAGAGAGACCTTTCCTATCTGTTCTTATGTAAGAACAGCCAGAACAGGCTTTTTTTCCTATAGGTTTTCATCATTTTGTGTCTTAATGCCCTGAAATATTCACAAATATGGTCTTGCCTTGTACATAGCAGTTCAAAAAGTTGCAGCTGGGTTTAAAGCCTTTGAACTTTCCACCCTTTCTGTGGGTTCCTGTTTGCAGCCACATCAAGCTCTTGGGTTTCAAGGTCCCCTAAGATTTACTGTCTGTATGCATAATTTTCCTTGTGCCAACAAAATGCTGAGTTCTATAAAAGCACTTCAGTGCTGACATCTTTTGTCTTTGCCCTTTTAGTATTTTCAGATGAATATTTTTTTGTAAAGATTTTCACCAGAGCTGCAGTGTTGATAAAGTTCTCCATAAATATCCCTAAAGCTGCCCTTTAGATTTCTTAGAATTCTTCTTTAAGGCAATGCCTAGAGAGGAATGAGAAATGCTGAAAAATCTTGGATTCTATCACTAATAATATTATCTTATCATTTCCTCACATGTTCCTCTTTATCTTCTGTCTGCAGCCACTTCTCACCCCTCATGGTTAGGCTGGGTAGCTTTTGTTGTCTTATTTCTAAATAGAAAAACCTCCCTTCTCTAAGAGAGGAGATAGATAAACCTTGTTCTTCAAGGGCCAGGCTGATCATACTGATGGAGAGAAGCACACTTTTTGAGGACATCTGTCAGCTTCCTACTGCACAGTGTTTTGCAATGTTGTCTGAAAAAAAAAAGACTAGTGAGAACTTCAACTGGAATACATTTGCAGGAGGGCCCAGCTCTGATTCCCACTTTTTCCTCATTTGGAATTCAAAAAAGAACTTTGCTCAGTCAAGCCTTGATTGTGATTCTCTGGAGTTTTGGGACAGGTCCTTAACAGTTGGCAATAAGGAGTCAGATAATTTCGTTATACTGTGAAGCAAAACTGCATTTAAAAATGTCAAAAATAGCTATGAAATGAAATTGCTACTTATAGCTAGTGCTACTTTAATCATCTGGTACCCGTTGCTTCTAGAAATATGTTATTGGATTAGTTGGATCATGATCTAATCAGTCATGGCAGTTTGTGTACTCCTGTCAAAAAACTGGTGTTGTTCCAGAGGTATTATTTTTAGTTATTGGAAGGATATTAAAAAGCTGACACACAGAGCTTGAGATGAGGAAGCCAATTCTTGACTTGCTTTGAAGGCAGTCTGCTGTCTTGCTTAATAAGCTTTTGATAGTGGAATGATTGGTAACACGTTGGGAAACAGGCCAAGGACAAAGGCAAGAGGGTGTAACATACCTAGTTGTAGGGCTGGTGGTGTGCTGGGACTGGCAGGTCCCAGGAACTCAACTGTTCCATCCCATTAATTAAAGTGCTATTAGGTTAAAAGTGACTTTCAAGAGCTGTTTTCTTTTATTCCAAACCACAATTCTGCTAAAAGTTTTTCAATAATGTCTTTCAGTCTGATGTCTTCTCCTCTCTGCTTCATCATGAAGTACAGTTTTCCAATATTGGTTGTCATAAAGCCACAAATTGTGGAAGTTCTATGTCACTGATGAGATCTTGGTGCCTTATCATTTTATATGATTAAAATATAATAATTATTTGTCTTTTATTAGATGCATAGTAAGGCATGTGCATGCTCTTGCTCTCTTTCATATTTGTTAGGATTAGTACTAAATTCCCCTGGTTGTATTTAGTAATGCTTGTGATTCTTTTGTGCTTTGTGACTGCAAATTCATCCTAACTGCTGCCTAATCTGCAGCTTTGACTTGTGTTCCTACTGTAATCACATCTTAAACATGCACTCACTCTGTTTGAAGGGTCCTTAAAAAGCTGATTTTTCAGATCTGGATTTTGAAGTTGAGAACAAATTGTTGAAAGCACTCTTATCTAATTAGTCCTTCTTTTTTTTCTCAGCCTTCCCTACCCACAACAGAGAGGACACATCCCAATTCAATCATGCAACTGGCTGAAAGCCTGAAACAACTGCCAGGCTGAGCCTTGAGCTTCCACTCTTCTGTTGCTTAGGGATTGCCTCTATGCTTTTTGTTTCTATTTTGGTGCAGGCAGCATTTGAAAGGCAAGTGTCCCTTAGGAGAATATGTGTATTGCCTAAAATGGGACAAGAGAGGCCAAGTCACTGGGTTTGTACATCTGCTCTGCCACTGGCAAATCACTTCTCCTGTGCCTCAATTCTCACATCTAGGAAGTGGAGCTAATATCCTGCTTTGCAAACATCAAGGAAATCTCATGCCTCTTCCTCAAGACACTTTGAATTTGTTTTTGGCAAGACATCTGTCTGTGCAGTGGTGACAATCAGCTCCTTTTGGGTGTTGCAGTGGTGGGCATCTGTGTGCTTTGATTGCTGTGTTCTCACAAGGGAGGGTGATCTCAGGATTACAGTCTAGAGGAAAGTCTCAGTTAATTATTAAATGAACCTTGTATTAAAGACTTTTATGCAAGATAGATCCCTACTTTGATTCTTTCATTAAAGGAGCCTGTACCCTTTCTACAGAGGGGAAAATTCTTAATGACTTTAGTAAGAGAAGCAACCCAAAAAGCTGAATATTTGAGTCCCTCTTTTTCCTGCAAAACATCCATTTTTTGCTTACAGCTTGTAAAACTGCTGAGGACAAAAGTTCTGTAAGAAGCAGATCTCCACAGTCCCCCAGAACCTGATACCTGATGAGTATTTTAATTACATTCTTGCCAGTTGTGAAGGCTTGTGCAAGTGGCTGACTTCTTGACTGATAAAATGTAAAACTGAGATCTGGCAGCCAAGGCAGCTTTCACAAAGGTAGCCTTGTGTCTGCAAAAATGCTAGAACCTAGACACCAGATGTGTGGTTAATTCTCATCTACTAAATTTAGAAAGTGCTAAAAAATCCTGCAATTTAAAGACTAGTTGGTAAAAGGATGCAATGACCAGGAGTCATATCCTGCTGTTGCCATTCCTTGCAGGGTTAGGATTCTATGATTAGTTCTGCTCTGAATAAATGTCCAGAAATGGGTAGTTTTTCACAAATTGTACTAGAGGACCAGCATTTATGCTCTGTAAAAATGGTGATGCTATGAATTACATGGAGTAGCATGCTTGGCTAACTTAATCTTTCAAATCTTGAAAGCAGAAGCAAACCTAAAGTACACATTCAGTGGAAAACCAGTGGTTCTTGTTCTCCAGAGTTTAGTGTTTGGTTTTACAATGTCATTCAGCCTTTGAAGACACATTTTGGGGAGAATAAAGCAAGCAGTACAATCAGCAATAACACATTTGTGAGCTATAACCTTAAAATCAGTAGTTTATTTTTAGCTCTGCTTTTCCCATAGAAGACATGAACTTTTGTTGTGATTTATTTGAAATAATTATTATCATCCTGCATTGTTTCTACCTTAAAGTAGGATCCTCACTCTGGTAAGCACTGTATAAACTCAGCCTGTGTCCTGAATTGATTACTGTTTCAGCATCAGGATTGCCAAGGGAACTTAATTAAAACCATAAATCTTGATCTTGAAGCAACGGGGTGTTTTGTGGTTGATCTGAGAACAGCAAAGTCTTCACTAATTACCTTTTTTTTTGGGTAGCTATTCTTTTCAACAGCTGCATGGACTTTAGTTGTTTGAAATCATCAACACATCCCTTTAGGCAGAAGATAGAGTTGGTGAACACAGCTCTCTTCTCTGTTTCCTCTTGCAGCATTATGCAAGCATTGGGGGTTTTGGTTTGAAAATAAGTGGTATATTGGTCTAACTGTCTTCCAGTTGTAAATTCTGCTTTTTAAAATTGATTACTCCCTTTTATGTGTTTCTTCAGGGCTAGCTGGAAAGATTATAAAAGCCATCATCAATGAAGGATTTCAGATCTCAGCTTTGCAGATGGTAGGTTTCCTTTTGTGCCTGTTCTTCTGATAAACAGAAGTCCAAGAAGTGCTGTGTGAGCTTGACAACAATGCCCAGGTGTTTCTCAGCAATACAAAACCCTTGTGCAGGCTGTGTAGCAATATTTTGGGATCAGCACTGGCTCTGTGATATTTGTATTTTGTTATTTGTTTAATCAGCTGATCTGTTTCTTGTTGCTGGGTGACCTTGCACCAAGACCCTTTACCTCTCTCTGTATCTTGGTTTCTACTAAGATAGTTTCTACTAAAAAAGGAGTTAGAAGGGGGATAATGACATCTGTCTCTTCTGAAGCAGTTTGAGATATAAAACTGAGTTTTATTAAGTTTGAGACTTTATAAAATGTCCTAAAATGAAATTATTGTTAACGTCCTCCCTCATTTTTTTAAAAATATATAGTTAGTATGAATTTAGGGAAAGCTTTTTAAAGATACTTCAGGAATTTTGACACCCTGATCACCCTCAGCAGCTGAAGCTGGCACAGAGATTGTCCTCAAGAGCAGTTCTGAGAATCCTGCCCTTTGATTTAGTGATCTTAGTGGCATCAGCCAACACTACATTGTCTGCTCATATTTAAGGTGGAAGAAGATACTGGGTGCTATGTTGCTTGTGGCATCACTGGCTAAGCTGTTGATAAACTATATATTGCAGCTGTAAAGCCATTCCTGTGGCCTGGTAAAACTTGAATATTCTGAATATTTGCTGGTGAAGAAGTGTCTGTCTGTTTTGTTGCTGTTTAAGGCAGGCTGGCTGACATTTTTGTTTTCTTAGTTCAACATGGAGCGTGCAAATGTGGAAGAATTTTATGAAATATACAAAGGGGTCGTTGCTGAATATATGGTAAGCATAAATTTGAGCCTAATCTGTTTAAAACTAAAATGTGATTAAATGAGGAAATGGTTACATCTTTCCTTTTTGGGGGGTGTGATAAGATTTCTTTGAAAAATTGAAGTATTGAGCAGTTCTAGCTCGTTCTCAAACTAATCGTGAAAGTTGTGCTAGATTTGTTGTAAGACAAGAGAGTCTTGTGAAAATTGTTCAGCCAAGGAAGTGGTAAAATACAACAGCATGAGAACAAAATCCCTCAGAGAAGTTATTTTATTGTGAGAGAGAATGTGTCATAACTATATCTTAGTTTGATTTGATATTGCAGTAGTGGCTTGGACCAGAATTATTATTATTATTTTGTTTACAATGGGGCTGCTATATTTGAATGCTCTTCTAATGACATTTTCAGCTGTTCTTAAATTAGTTGATCTGACTTTTGTGGATCTTCAGAAAATTTAAGAAATTTAAGATATGCTGTAATTCCAGTGGCCATCTAAGACTCTCTATATTTTTATGCCTTGTTGTACTGTCACATAAAACCTCCTGACTGTACATGGAACTTTGGGAATACAAGAAGACTACCTTGCATTTCTCTATCACCTTCTCAGAGGGTTTTGCTTCATTTTACAAATAGTAATGAGTTGAGCTTCACTGCTCTGCTATGTATTATGCAAATTGTCCTTAACTTCTAAATGGTTAAATTATTTTGATTAACAAAGCAGATTCTGAGCTGACTCAAATACAGGCAGACTTGTAAGTATGTGGCAGCATTAAAATAGGCTCATATCTGACCAGTATTTCAGGGCCTGGGGAATCTTGTGGTACTGCAAAAGCCTCTTCTTTGATCTAAATTAGAAATTCTCCACCATCTTCTGCAGCTCTTTTGCACAATCTCTGACCTTCTAAAAAAGTCACAAGTTTTCGTTACATAATTTAATTGGAGAGTTACTCAGAAGGGAAAGTGACATTTAAACTGGGTAAGTCAATAAAGAAGATCTGTTTTAGATGGGATTTAAGAAAAGGGAGAATGTAGGGCTCTGTCCTGCAAGCCATATGCACTCAGTTGATATTAAATTAACAGCTCCATGCACTCAGGATGTCAGTGAAACAGGAAAACGTGGGAAAATTAATCATGATGGTAAAGGCATCCAGAGAAGGCCCATATGGGAACAGCAATAGATATTGTCAGTGGAGGCCAAATAGGAGGAACTGTCTTGTGAAATAGGATATTGGAGAAAGAATATGACCTCTTCTATCCATGACTCACAACCGTCTGGTTTGATCTGAATTCTATTTATCATTCCAAAATAACTCAGCACAGAAGATACTTGGAATCTGAATAATCCTCTTCAAAAACTCTGCTCCCATTTCTTCTGGTTACCCCTTGGCAGTCAGGAAAAAAAAAGTCTTGACATGGTGTATAAAGCTGTGAAAAGAGAAAGCTGAACAATTGCTCAAAATATTAGCTTTGTTGGTATCTCCTGTGTGGAATTCTGCATGTTATTGATTGATTTTTGTGTTCTTTTGCTTTTCATTTCCTACTGTAGCCAGAATAGAAAATGGTGAAAAAAGGAGGGAGATTATTTTGTAAAGTTAAAAGCCTGTTTTTTCTCCATTTCCTTGTTAACAGTGACAGAACTCAATGAGATATTACAGATTAGTGACTTTGTGGCAATTTACTGTTTCTTAACCTATCACCTGTTCTTAACAGATCCATTGGTGATAAGACAATATTTGGAATTAAGATATTTATTCATGTTGTAGAGCTTCAAACTAGTCTTTACTCTTTTCCTGTCCTCTCAGGAATACTTCTACCTGTAAGATCAGGTTGATGGTAGAGGCACTTGGCTATAATTCTGTCCTGTTGACTCCAGAGTGGGGAAATGAAGCACGTGCTTTCAGCATGGAATGAAGATACCAACTCTTTGAAACAGTGCTGCTTGACTTGGAGTTTTTGTGCATTTAATTTCCATCACAATTCATAAAAGACAGAGAAGGACTTAATTCTTCTTTTCCTACTGTTTTTTTCCCCCCCCACTCTTCTTTGCCATAGCTCATCCTTGACCTGCCCATGGCTGCTGGGTTTTATTGCAGCACCTTGCTTGTCCTTCCCTCTCCTCCCTTATTTCCTGCAAATGTTTTCTCCTTGCCCCATTAGTCTTGATTCTTTTGTACTAATGCTCACAGTTAATTTAAGCTCATGAAAACTAAGACCCATCTTCATCACCCACTTGGAACTCATGATGTCTCTGCTCTCCAGGAGAACAGATGATTTTGGAGTGACTCTGGTAACAGTACACCACAAGAATGTTGGCAGATCAAGGACCCATTCCCTAACAGGTTGTGCCACAGGACCCTTGCAATTCTCTCCTGTTGGCTTGTGTCTTTCAGCTTCTGTAGTAATATGTGAGGAAAAGACAGTGAAAACCAAAAGCCCAAGAGATGTTTTAATGACTTAAAGCCATCAAACAGATAGATATTGGGAAACAAATCTGAGCTGTGTAGAATGTTCCCTGTAGGGAGCACTGCAAAGTACATTGGTGCCTGTGGAACTGGCTGAACACAGTGTGAGTTTTCAGGCTAATACCCAGCAAAGTATGTTCCATTCTTTCTGTGTAGTTTGACAAGTTATGGGATACTTCTGTGAAATCCAGAGAAGAATGGACCTGTAGAAGTATTTAAAGTATTGTGGATGCTGCTGGATGCTATTCAGAACCCTGTTGGAGCTGAATATCCCATTGCCTCAATCTCCACCTTCTAAACTAAGGAGCAAAATGGGATACATGTATTTTGTTGTGCTACTAATGACATCTTTATTTCATGTCTTTGCTTTCCTAAAGGCACCAAAATTGTTGCTGTCTATCCCATTGCCTCAATCTCCACCTTCTAAACCAAGGAGCAAAATGGGATACATTTCCTTTGTTGTGACTACTAATGACATCTTCATGTCTTTGCTTTCCTAAAGGCACCAAAATTGTTGCTGTCTGCAAGTTTCCATCTAGTTTTGGGGAGGAATACAAGCTCATACTCAAAGAAGCTCAGATTTGTTCCTGTCTTTTTTTTTTTCTCTTCCAGGAGATGGTTACAGAGTTGTGTTCAGGCCCTTGCATAGCCATGGAGATTATCCAGCCTGAGCCTCCAAAAGTGTTCAGAGACTTCTGTGGTCCTTCTGACCCTGTGAGTACTTGTTTGAGTGCTAAGAAATGCCTAAAAAGTTGATGTAGTGTCTGTGTGAATGAAAATACTGCAGTGTTGTATGGCTGCCACATCCCTGCTGCATTCCTTGCAGAATTACCTTATTATGGGGGTCAGGTGCCACTCTTAGTGGACCAGTTTGCAAATCCTCTAGCAACAGTTCTGATCTAACCTAAACCAGATGACAAAATCCTGTGATATATTTATGTGAAAGAAAAAAAAGCTATCTAGGCAAAAAAATCTCTGCTCAAGATTCATAAATATTCTACCACAAGGTTTCAGAGCCCTGGAACAAATAGTTATCACTCCTGGATGGCAGTGTAAATCAAATGTTAGTCCACTGCCATCTGTGGCATTCTCCTAGCATCAAACTGTGAAAGGAGAATTAGTTCCTTTGTTTCTCAGAAGGAAATGTGCAGAGAAGGGTGTCAAAGCTCTCACACCTGGTTGCTATGCCAATGCTTTTAGGTTGGGTTTGGTTTTTTTGAGGTGACTACTTGGAGATGCATGATCCTGTGTACCATTTGGAGACAAGCAGAGGTGCTGTCTGAAAAAGTCTGGAGTTTTTTGTTAAATAATGAAGGTTACTGTACCACACAGGAGCCATGAGGTGAAATAACCCCCTGGAGGCAATGAGGTCAGGGTTTGTTCTTTGGGTTATGAGTCGATGTTTTAGCTGCAGATTGAGTGGGTTTACCAGTTTCCATGGAAAAAACTCACACAGATTAGTATTTGAAAGGGAGAACAAGTTGTTCAGGCTATATTTTTTTTTCCTTCAGATCCAGAGTTTCTATTACAGAAAGCACAAGTTAAAGGAATTATCCAAATCTTTTATATTTTTTTTTCTTCTATTTGGTAACATTCAGATGTTTCTCTGCTGGGTTAGCATCTTGGAAGCAGAGCATAACCTGTTTTAACTGCAGGGTGATGGATCAGTATTAATACACACAATATAGTGTTGCCAGTTTTGTTCCAAATTCCATGTTTAAGGTTTCTGGGCTTTCAAACTTTCAAAGGTGCAGTTGTTTTGTTTGGGCCTATTATAACCTGTTCATGTTTCTGCTTATTTAATGCCTGATAAAATCAAAAATAGAGTTGCAAACATCACAGCTGCATTAGGTAGTTAAAGACAAGTGTAGCTATACAAGGGAAATGTCTGTTTTCTGTTATTACATCCCATGAAAAGCTCTGTCACAGCCATACCACATGGGTGTGACTGAAGGAGCTGTTGATGTGCTGAGGGATGTATACACTGAGGGCTTCACTGGGTAGCACAAGAAAACAGCAAAGGGGGGAAGTAAATTCCTGTCTCAGATCTCTTGCTCATCACCTACATACCTGCCTCTTAAAATAAGTAAGTTTTGGACACTGCCTTCATACTAGTTAAATTTATGATATGTTTGCAAGACAAGCAGCTGTGCTGTTTATTTCTGTTGACTGTTTTCTATCAGAACTGCAAGTTAATTCACTTTTCAGGCACATAAAGCATATGTACACTAACTACAGGTGCTCTCAGGAGTGATCTTTGCCTGAAATTTGGAGGTCTGTTGTTATTACTTGGGTTTGAAGCTACAGCTTCTGTTTTCACATCTTTGTGCAGCTTCTGTGTTGAAATAGCTGCTGGTAACATTTTGCCATGGGATTGTTGAGGTGATTACTTAGTATTCATAAGACACTTGTAAAATGCTGTAGAAATTCTATATATTGCTTTTTTTTAATGATTTTTACCTTTCTTTTGAACTTTCTGCATGAAAAGATTGGTTATAATGTGTGATTTCAGGAGTTTACATCAGCTTACATGTTCCTGGCTGAATGGCATAATTTTTGGTAGTCCTGAAGAGTTTTTAGTTGGGTTGGGCAGTGCACTGAAAGTGCCTCAAGGACCTTCTGCTGGGAGATGTTATTGCAGGGATGGGACGTGCTGCAGTTATTTCTGCTGAAAAGGGATTTCATATGCTTGCTTTAGATCCTAACCTGCATTCTTTTTACACTGGGGATTTGCAATTTACAGATTAACAGTATATTAAGAGTCTTTTGTACTTGTGCATCAACACCAAAGAGCTGAAAGGGAGATTAGGTGGTTTAAAACAAAGCAGTGAACTGAAAGAGCTGGAGTCTGCTCCATTCCTGACCTCACTGTGTGACCTTGGACAAAAAGTTCAATATGTTTCTGCCTCAGTTATCACATCAGTTCAACAGGGATAACAGTATGAGGCAAAGAGGACTGTTGCTGTAAGATTTTTGTTTGTACAGACCTCCTGTGAGTCTCCAGCCCTGAAAATTATCTACACGTGAGGCCAAAAATGTTCATGGTCATTCCTAGAACCTCATTAGCAGCACGACATTTTCATATATCACATAAAAAATAGTTCAGTGGAAGATATAAAGAAATATGAAGACTATTTTTGAACTCCTAAGTGTTCATTTTCTGACAATATCTTCATAGCTGCTTCAGTGTGGATTCTCCCTGTAGCCTGGTGAGCTGGGAAGAGTGTTGACAGTGAAGTAGTACATAATGTATTTCAAGAGAAATAAGATTTATTAATCTAATTCTTTGATGAAGAAGATTTTCATATAATTGATTATCTTCTCAGATAGCCTGAGTCATATCATAATAATAAAAAAAATGTTCATTCAGTGCCAAAATATTATCAGCTAGAGCAGCAAACGGACTGATCAATACCAGTTAGGATATCCTGCTGTCTGAGCCTGCAGTGGGAAAGCCAGGATTGAATTGCTCACATGTTATTTAGGGTCAGTCATCTGACTCTGTCCTTTCAGTTTTGAATTTCCACATCAGCCTCTGCAGATCTAATGAAAATGTGTCCCAGACAGGGCTAAGGCCTCTTAGCTGGGAGGCAGCGAGCTGCTTTCCCTGGTTTAAAAGGGATGGGGTCAGCACTGGCTGCACCAGAACCAAGACTTACAGAGATGGCATGTTTGCTCTTCCAGCCAAAGCTGTGTGTAGAACCTCTGAGCAGCTGAGAGTCAAGAATCCAACAAGGGCTGGAGTTGAGTTAGCAATTCTTACAGCTATGATTTCAGTATCCATAGTAAGTTGGGTGACAGACCACTGGGATAGGTTGGCCAGAGAGGTGGTGGAGGCCCCATCCCTGAGGACATTCAAGGTCAGGCTGGATGAAGCTCTGAGTAGCTTGATCTAGTTGGAGATGTCTGTGCTTATAGCAAGGGGGTTGGACTAGATGACCTTTGAGGTCCCTTCCAAGCCAAACATTCTATGATTCTAAGTTCTTCTGATGTGTTTCTTCTGCTTCTGAATGGGTATTCCAGAGGTCTGCCAGCCCCTGCCACCCTCCTCCCTTTGCTTTTTATGTGCTGAATTTTGAGGTGACCTCCCTAAGAGCTCTGTTTCTTGCATACTGTCTTCTCCAAGCCACCCTTTTTAGTCCTTTGGCAGGAAGAGGGACTTCAGCCTCACTGAAAAAAATGTCTTTGTGTGGAGATCAGAACAAAAATCAGAGCACTGGTAGTGGTGGAGGAGACTTTTCCTTGGAAGTGACTTGCTTTCAATGTAGCTTGTTATTGCTGGAAGGTGCTGTCATATGATGGATGTGCAGTGTCATATGGAGCTGGAACTTGTAGGCTCACTGATTTTTGAGGGGTAGGTGCATATGTGTTGAAAATTGCTGTTATTCAGGAGGACTGGCAGTCTCCATGAGGAGACCAAATACTGACAGAGCCCTCAAGACTGAACTCTGCTTTAAATCCAATGTGATTGAGGCATGTTGGCAAGGTTCCAGTTTGGAAAGAAACTCCTTGTCTGAGGCTCCAGAGCTACCAGACTTGAACATGTCAGCAGTGCCTAAATAAATTCTGGATGTGAGGTCATTGAACTGAGATTCCATGGTCACAAATCACAGTTATTTGGTAAAGTAGATGGCAAAAAGTATTCCATAGTTTGATATCAAGCCCACTACCACCACAGAATCATGATGCTGGAGCAGTCTGCTGCTTTCATCCTGGGGAACTTCTAGGAGAGGACTGAAACTGGAGTACATTTCAGCTGCTCCAATGCTCCTTGCTTTATTTTTTCCCCTCTCAGTTGGCTCCCAAAGCCCCTCTAGCCTATGTGGATTTTTTTGGTAGTTTCCTCTGCTACTATGGTATTTTAGTATCACCTCATGACATGGCACCTTCTTAGCTGAAATTTCTGGACATTTTCAGCCCATGATCAACATTTTGTGAAAAATCCTGTATGTGCCCTCCTGGAAACTACCATCAGCTTCAGAAGCCTTCAGGGTTCCCATCTGTGTTGCCATCTTTCCCTTATGTCAGGCTGTCTCTGGCTTTAAACTGGTTATTCCTGGGCTCCTCATGCCTCTTTCCAGGCTGGAATAGCTTGCCCTATTTTAGCAGGAGGAGAGGAACTAAATATGAGCCCAGAGACTGAAGGAAGGCAGGGATGTGCCACAAGGCACTAGCAGCACTGCTTTAGTGATCTTCCTGGACCTGCTGTGTGGCCTTGGGACCTCTTACTACTCCTCAGAATGGCCAACAGAAAAGCTCCCTTTGCACTCAGACCAAGTGCATCCCCAAGTACTAGGTGGGTATTATTAAAAAGGTGGTATTTGAAGCATAGGATGAACACAAGGTTCTTAAAAATGCTGTTAGTTCCATAAATTTGTCTATTCAGCCTTGAGGAAATAGGATTTTTTGGGGGATTGTGTGAGGTTTTTGTGAAAATAAAAACCTTTTTTTGGTCTTGCTCAGGAAGACACAGAGCTGGTCATCAGAATTCCTAAACTGTAGTGGTCTGCAGTCACAGGAGGTTTGCAATCCTTGGTGATTCCTTATCTTTTTATTTTGTTGTTGGTTTGTTTTTGTCTCTCTCCTCCCTCCTTTGGACTGTTCAATTATGGTTCTGCTGGAGCTGCTGAGGTTTCTGAGAACAGATTTATTCAGTCCCTGAAGGCACAAGGTGAGAGCCTTTTCAAGAACAAGATGGTTCTGGGTTAATTTTA